TTTGGCCCGCGGCTCTTGAGTTTGACATATGTGATCCCATAAAGAAAAGAATCTCCTACAAACCACTAGAGATAAGTTGGGGTTGTTTCATTAATAATACAAAATAAAAAAACAGCCCAAGGACACGGAAGTGTCGATAGAAAGAAGAAAAAAAAAAGCTGGCCATTAAGTGAGCTGCCAAAAGGAGAAGTGGGGTTTTTCTGTGCCAAAAAAAAAAAAAAAAGAAGTTTTTACTATCTAACTTTTCTGTTGTCTTAGAAAACTGTTTACTATTTCTGAAAGGAAATTATAAGCAACTAGTGTTCAATACAGACATAGGGTGATATTTTACAGTTGGTCATGTTTTTGTTGGTGTAATATTCAGCCTCTAACAATGAGTTTTCCTCTAAGTGAAGGTGATAAATGATAAATGACGTACCCACTGCGCCAGCGCGCTGCCCATGAATTCCTCTATTATCTCCTCAGTGTCAGAGTCCATGGTTGTGCTGGGGAGGCTTTGAGAAACACTGAGGAGGTGGGAAAAAGACAACTAATTACAAAATACCATCAGCTTTGTGTTTGTAATGAATCGGAGAGCTGGGCTCCATCTCGGGCGAGGCGGTTAGACATGTCTGCGGCCCTCCTCCACCCTCCTCCACCTCGCTGCCTCTTCCTCTATAAGTGTGTCAGTTGGTGTCGTTGCAAAACCACACCGGAATTTCTCTAAAATCACACCCCGCACACGTCGTCAGTGTTCAGCAGTGACGTTTCCACATTAAAACGTGAAGACAAGCTAGCTTTTGCCCAACAGAATTGCTCATTTTGGAGAATGAAAAAATAAAAATCACCTGCGCCTTCAAAAAAAAAAAAAAAAGTACACTTCCGGTGTTGGAGTCTTGCATGCTCATTTTTTGCGTGGCATGTCATCATTTACGGATCCTATAACCCTGAAAATATCGTCTAGAAATTTGTTTTAATCGCAACAAAAGTTCAGATAAGGTTCTTTCAAGTGCAAAAAATAAAAAAAAATGTACGGGTGTATTTTAATCTATACAACAGCGCCCTCTGGTGATCGGAGTGGAAATTACATATAACTCGAGCTTTGTAATGGCGCCCTCTATCGATTGTAAGAAGAATTACATGTTTACATAAAAAATATACATATATAAAAAACATTTTAAATAAAAAATTACATCATTGTTTCCGTGACTAAAATCACCTCCTCCACTGAGGTGCTGTTACTAAACCCCTAGCTGCTGACTGCTGTTATTTTAAGCACAATTTACTGCTTGTAAGCATATAACCTTGTATTTAACCATTTCGAGGTAGCGTTACTGTGTAATCAGCCAGATTGATTTTATTAAACCTCCAAAACAATTTAACACTTAATTATTAAAATTAAAAATATAAGAGTTTTTTTTATTACTAATGACAGTCCAAGAATGATTGACAGCTTTATTTTAAAGTAACATGAGATAATTACAAAGAAGACAAATGATTCGTATGTCAAGCAAGCAAAAACATTTTTACTCACATATTGAAACCAGTGTTATCTGTTTGAATTACAAGTGACAGAGATGTGTCAGACGTACTGTAAATTAGACAAAGACCACCACAGATTTAAACTAACAACTATCATGGAGAAAATGGTAGTAGCCGAGTTGTCCCCTCGTGCTCGTTTAAAACTTTGTCATGTAAAGCAGCAGGGAATACAGGTCCTTCTCAAAAAATTAGCATATTGTGATAAAGGTCATTATTTTCTATAATGTAATGATAAAAATGAAACTTTCATATATTTCAGATTCATTGCACACCAACTGAAATATTTCAGGTCTTTAATTGTTTTAATACTGATGATTATGGCATACAGCTCATGAAAACCCAAAATGCCTGTCCCAAAAAATTAGCATATCATGAAAAGGTTCTCTAAACAAGCTATTAACCTAACCATCTGAATCAACGGCGTAACTCTAAACACCTGCAAAAGATTCCTGAGGCTTTTAAAACTCCCAGCCTTGTTCATTACTCAAAACCGCAATCATGGGTAAGACTGCCGACCTGACTGCTGTCCAGAAGGCCATCATTGACACCCTCAAGCAAGAGGGTAAGACACAGAAAGAAACTGCTGAACGAACAGGCTGTTCCCAGAGTGCTGTATCAAGGCACCTCAGTGGGAAGTCTGTGGGAAGGGAAAAGTGTGGCAGAAAACGCTGCACAACGAGAAGAGGTGACCGGACCCTGAGGAGGATTGTGAAGAAGGGCCGATTCCAGACCTTGGGGGACCTGCGGAAGCAGTGGACTGAGTCTGGAGTAGAAACATCCAGAGCCACCGTGCACAGGCGTGTGCAGGAAATGGACTACAGGTGCCGCATTCCCCAGGTCAAGCCACTTTTGAACCAGAAACAGCGGCAGAAGCGCCTGACCTGGGCTACAGAGAAGCAGCACTGGACTGTTGCTCAGTGGTCAAAAGTACTTTTTTCGGATGAAAGCAAATTTTGCATGTCATTCGGAAATCAAGGTGCCAGAGTCTGGAGGAAGACTGGGGACAAGGAAATGCCAAAATGTCAGAAGTCCAGTGTGAAGCACCCACAGTCAGTGATGGTCTGGGGTGTCATGTCATCTGCTGGTGTTGGCCCACTGTGTTTTATCAAGCGCAGGGTCAATGCAGCTAGCTATCAGGAGATTTTGGAGCACTTCATGCTTCCATCTGCTGAAAAGCTTTATGGAGAGGAAGATTTCATTTTTCAGCACAACCTGGCACCTGCTCACAGTGCCAAAACCACTGGTAAATGGTTTACTGACCATGGTATTACTGTGCATAATTGGCCTGCCAACTCTCCTGACCTGAACCCCATAGAGAACCTGTGGGATATTGTGAAGAGAAAGTTGAGAGACGCAAGACCAACACTCTGGATGAGCTTAAGGCCGCTATCGAAGCATCCTGGGCCTCCATAACACCTCAGCAGTGCCACAGGCTGATTGCCTCCATGCCACACCGCATTGAAGCAGTCATTCATGCAAAAGGATTCCCGACCAAGTATTGAGTGCATAACTGAACATGATTATTTGAAGGTTGGCATTTTTTGTATTAAAAATACTTGTCTTTCATTGGTGGGATGAAATATGCTAATTTTTTGGGACAGGCATTTTGGGTTTTCATGAGCTGTATGCCATAATCATCAGTATTAAAACAATTAAAGACATGAAATATTTCAGTTGGTGTGCAATGAATCTGAAATATATGAAAGTTTCATTTTTATCATTACATTATGGAAAATAATGACCTTTATCACAATATGCTAATTTTTTGAGAAGGACCTGTATATGATCCTTCAGGAAATGCTGTTTTCATTGTGTTCAGTTTGTGTGATGTTGATCGTGTTCCCTCTGCTCTCCTGCACACCTGACTCTTGTTTGGTAATTGATTACTCCTGTGCTGAGTCTTTAATCATCCCTCTGGTTTCTGCCAGCTTGGCTGCTTGTCCTTCGTTGGATCTGATTATTTAGGTTTGGGGGGTTTCTATACTTATTTTGGTATCTCTGCTTCTGCAGTGCTTTTCTTCTTCTTTAATAAATGTTCCTGACTCATATTGTCCCTGAACTGGATTTTATTTTTTTTATTCGCTGTGTGACTAATTCTCAGAAGCATGAAGGTCCCGAGGAGATGCCTCATCGCTCAGTTTGGTATTATATTGATCAATTCCATTTTTATCACCTTTCTGTCAAAAGCCTCACAGATGAGCAGCGAAAGACTGAAACTCTTCTTTGCTTTGGATTTTTATCAGAACTTGACTCGTCACAATGCACTAAAGAACCAGTTCGCCCATCTCGGCAACACCGGGTCCGTTTCTTGGTCTGGTTTGATAATCAATTAAAACCTTTAAAAAAGTGTCACATTTCTCCCCATAAATTATGTTTTGAAACATTTTTTAACAGACTTAAAATACATATTTCATGCAGTTTTACTCTTAGCTGTGTAAAGTTTATAATCCAATACATGTCATTCTCATGTAAGAACGTGTAGATTACAGTGATATCTAGTAAAACATATAAAAAATGTAATAACTTGTGTTTTTACTATTTGTACTGTACTTGTTCATAAAAATTGGCTTTCCTATTTCCTTTTTTAATTTGTCTGTCTGTTTTAAAGTGATGTTTTAAACGTTTTGAAGCAAACTATCAAGTTTTCTTCCATTCGTGTCACCTTTTTGCAGCTGCTGGACGCATCGTTTTTATTGCTGTTTGGTCAGGAAACAAATAAGACCTTCATTGAAGTAATTCTGTGATACAAATTTTATTTCAGAAGAACGTGCACACATTGGATGAACTAGGGCAAATCACCACGTGTTCTTTGCAAATGAAAAGCATTTTAGTTTAACAAAACAAACTGATTCTGCTCCCTGAAATAACTGCTGGACGTGTGTTAGGGCTGCGTGAAGGAGTGTGTTCCTGCATGCTGACATCGCTTGTGCAGCAGTTCTGGGATTAACTATGCCGTGGATTATCAGATTGTTTCAGCGCTGCCAGAATAAATGCGATGACAGCTTCATATAGGGCATCACACACACACACTTAATCCAACCCTCCTCAGATAACCCACTGTCACTTCATCTCATGTTATAATTACAAAAAGAAGCCGACACTACAAAGCAGTTAAAAACTTCTACCTTTAATGTAATAATTCATGATTTATTCAGGGTTCTAAGCATTTCAGGACAGTTTAATACCAACTCTACACCAAAACATGTCTTGTGTGTTTCTGCTACCCCACATTAAACTGACTGTACTCTCTTCTAGACAAACAGGGAACACTACACACCTCCTGAGCAGATTCAGGTGGAGTCCTGGACAGAGGAGATGTTAAAATGTGTTTTCATGTCTGTGCAGGGGCCTATAAAGATCTATGTGTTGCCCTGTTTAGGTCATGTTCAGAGGGGAGGGGGGCTGCAGCTGCTTCGTGAATAAAGCCTACTGTGTACCACCCGAGTCTCACAACCAAAAATAAAAACAGACACACAGAACCCCCAGCGTCCTCTCCTCCTCAGCACGCTTTGTGTTTTTTTATTCGTCTAACTGGCTGGAGGCGAGGTGGCAGCCTTCTCCGTGTTTGTGTCGGTTGTTTTCTCTTCTTCTTCGGCCCCCGAGGGCCCCTCGGCGGGGTCAACCTGCCCAAACTTCACCAGGTTGAGAAGCGTGGCTCTGACGTCCTGATAGGTTTCCTTCACGCCCTTCTCCAGGAGGTAGCCCTCACTTTCAGCCTCCGGGCTGTCCAGAGCCGCGGCTCCGTCTACCGCCGTCTGCAGGTACCGCATGCTGAGCAGCACCGACATCTGGGGGTGAAACAGCAACATCTGAGGTGGTAGAAAATATTTAGCAATAATTTACAAGAGGCAAGACGATCTCTAATCTGTTGTCTTTTTATGCTGCAGTAGATGCCCACCGCCAAAAGATGAAAAATTATGTTTATGACTGTGTGTGCCAATTTTATTTACATGTATACTGACCTAAAAGTTGTTGTGGCTGTAGCTGAGACCAGTCTTCAACACACAATCTGAGCACTAACAGATTGAGCAACACTTTAGTTTAAAATTTAGCAGACTACTACTTAAAGTCAACTCTGTCTGTCTGTTAGTAAAATATCTCCTGAACCACTAGACTTATGTTAATGAAACGTTCGGGAAATAATCAATGGGTGCACATCTACAAATCTTTTACTTTTGGAGGCAACTCAGTTGAAGATGGCTGCCACAGCCAGCTGACCTTGAAAAACACAAAAGCTGCTATAATTCAGTCAATTTTACTGATATTTTCCTAAATGTTGGTGCGGTTGTAGCTCAGACCAAAGCTGCTTTGCCACTAATACTCGAGTCGGTTCTCGTCTTATCGGTTCTTCTCGGGTGTAGGTGAACTGTGACTATGACATGTTTTCTCACTCTGTGGGCAGGATCATCAGTGCATAGTATACGTGCTATATGTTGTCATTATTGTATGTTCCCATACAATGATGAAACTGGTTCTCTGCATTTAACCCATCGCAACTGGGATACACCCAGGTGGAGCAGTGGGCAGCTATTGAGCGCCCCGGGAGCAATTAGGGATTAGGTGTCTTGCTCAGAGACACCACAACATGTAGGAATGACTGGGAGTCGAACCGTGACTTATCTAGTCCCATGTCAGCTGCCCTGCCTCTACCCCATCTCGGCCCCCTAACGGCCCTAGTGGGCAGGCATCGTAACTGTAACCTGACTTCAACCGTTTTATCCTGGTACTGCTTAAAGGTCTGGGTGTAGCCATGCTGCACCATCATCTCTTATTTCTTTCAGTAAATTTGCACGTTTCTTGTGGTGCCATCCAGCTCACGATGAATCTTCTAATCCGCCAATAAAGACAGAACAGTCTGGAGCTTATCTTGGTCCGCGGCACTATTCCTGCAGCTTCCAAACTCAACTAGAAACTAGAAAACTTGGAAAAAAAACTAACTAACTGGGCGGGTCATCCAGGGACGTAGCTTCATTGGCCAATCGACGGCTGCTGCCTGCTTACGTCAAAAGCGTCACCTTGGAGCAGTTCGCTTGGAACCAGGTTAGGTTTAGGTTTATTGTCACATGCAGATCAACACAAGGTCAACAATGCAATGAAATGCTCAGGACGAGAAGAACCATCTCGACTTGCCAAAAAGGCATCCAAAAAATACCAAAGCGTGCAACAAAAATGCACAATCAAGGAGCCAAAAGTGGAAAAAGTGAAATACATCTACAGTAGCATAGTCATACTAGCAGAGTGGTTTGTTGGTAGTGAGGTTCTCTTAGCAACTTGGTCCCGTTAACACCATGATACTGTTAGCAGTGTGGCTTGGTTAGCACCATGGTCTTGTTAGCAGCGCAGTTGAGACAGTGGCAAATCAACTAATCAACGTTAGTCATCACACTAAGAGTCATCACCAGCACAAACAGATCAGACATGTTCTTTGAAACGACAGCATGCAGAGCAGCGTGTGAGGTCAGAGCTTTTAGTTTTGGAGTTATGAAACATTATTTCCCCAAACTAAGGTTGTTCCAAGTGTCATCTTCAACAGGTAAGATATTAATTGTTCATAACCTGTCCACAAATCCCTACTTCAAAAATAAAACAAGCCGCTACTTTTAAGTGTTTCTTTCCGGCTCGCTCATTTAAACACTGCTGACATGCCTCCTTCCCCTCCCTCATCATTTTCACACAGTTCCATATGCAAGTGTCCTAAGATGTTGAAATCCAGACATCTGTTCAGCTTTTCAGTAAAAGTTGTGACACAGTCAGAGCTGCACAACACGTGACTATCTCGTGCTTCCTTCCAGAAACGTGGCACAACGATTCAAAAACAAGTTTGGGTGAAGGAGGAACTGTTTCGCTCGGCTTGGAGGAGAAAAATACAAAAACACCAAGTATTGATTGTGTGCAATGTCTGTGGCGTGATCAGCTGCAGATGATGCGGGCGTGTAGCGGTTTCCTGTTTGGGCCCGAGGACTTGTGAAAATGCTGCGGCTTTACTCGGAGATGACAATGGGTGTTTGATTAAACGCGAGGAATCGATGAGTCTGTGATGTTTTCTGTGTTTCTGTCGTCATGGAAGTGTGGACAAAATGACAATTTCCTGTTTTCTTTGTGTGTTTCTGTTGCTAAGCACTGAGACAATCTTATCCTCTAGTTTATTCGCCCAGAAGTCTAGAAACGTTTCACCCATTCGACACTAAATATCCCAGAATATGTGCTAAAACTAAACTTGATCTGGATTTTTCCCCAATTTAGCCACTTTTCATCAGTCATGGTCGGTACAAGAGGGACTAAAATTGCCATATCTCATCCTACGGTTGCTGATATCCACAGAACCTGACCTCAGTTGGCCCAGTTCAGCACATCAGTCACCTTTTGAGGTGCCCACCTGGATCAAGATGACCGAGAGCACGCCGGGACCGGTGGAGTTCATCAGGCCCATGTAGTAGTCGGTCAACGCCTGCCTGCAGCCCTGGCTGTACAGGTTGAGCTCCTCTGACTGGTACTCATAGTTGTAGTGGGCCCTGCTGTCCGTCAGCTGGTTCTGCAGACAGGGGCGAGGCGAGGCGGGGTTACAGCAGCTGAACGGGACGCCATCCAACAGGTAACGGTTGTCCACGTTGCTCCGGATGCGACTGAGAACGACAGACACAGGAAAGTCATTTGTCAGATTCTGCTTTGTTTACGTTGAGCGCGTACCTGCATTTTAAGAACATCTGGGAAAACCGGGGTAAAGTCTTTCAAACGGCTCAGGATGACCTTTTCTCAGCGTTTGATTGTGCACTTTGCGATGAGTGCCTTTAAAAGTTTAAGGTTTGTCTCAATCCACGCCTGGTGAAAAGTGAGCGTCGATACGAGCGTAAACGTGTCGCGACCTTTCTGTTTACTCATCGCTTTTCTTTCCTTTTTTTAAAATCTTTGATCAACCTTTCTCTTCGCGCTTTGACCTTTCTAGCCGTTCGTTTGAAGAGTAAAGGCCAGATCTATTTTTACTCCACTTCCTGCTCTCTGCCTCCTTCTCTCTAACATATTGTTTGACCTTTGAGGACGTGAAGCCTCCTCCAGCACACCTCCTCCCTCCAACAGCCCTCGTCACTTTCTCCTCTCCCCGCCTCACCTCTTTGCATCTCTCCTCTTTTTGCTCTCGTTCACTCACTCTTTGACTTCCTGGGAGGTGAAATTCAGGTATCTGTTGCTGACCCACTGGACCTCAAACCAGTCCTTGAAGTTGTTGTTTCCACAGCAGCGAAACTCCATCTGCAGCCGGTCGATGGTTTCTTTTTGAAAGCAGCGGCCCGGGACGTCTGTGTCCTTGTAGAACCGGATGCCGTTTCTGAGGCCCACCTAAGGGCAAGATACACAAAAAAGGCCCGATTTCAGTACGACTACTGTTCTGCTGTTACAGGCAGACAATCATGCTTGAGTGTTTGCTTGTTAGCAAAATATATCATGAACCAAACTCTCAGAAACCATAGCTCATTTATTTTACAGTCACTGAGCTAAAATCAGATGATTATAGCTGCACTGCCTGTTTTCTTCGCCTGAATTCCCTTATTCCACATTCAGACCAATCGAGAGGTTTCTTGTGTTATGATAGCGCTGACAAACATGTCGACTCCGTCTGTTCTGCTCCCCGTTCACCCATTATGGCGCTGACCTTCAGAGACTCCTCCAGGCGTCCCTGCAGGGCGTAGCTGAGCACCACCACAGTGAGAAGCAGGCAGCACAGCAGAGCGGCCACAGCAAACCAGGCCAGCAGGAGAACCTTCCAGCGGGGGAAGCGGCTCGCGTCCAGGGAGTCCTGACACATGCGACTGGCGATCCAGTTGGTGCCGATGGAGGCCAGGCCCACCATGATGAGGATGTTGGGCACCGCGTGGATCTCCGCGTTCTCCATCACCTCGAGAAAACAAAGCAGCATCAAAGATTATCACTTTAATGATGTCTGCGTCCATCTGCACCTTCACCCACGTCAACAACTTTCAATTAACTTAATCTGTTCTGAAAAACATCCTGGAGGCCAAGAGATCCAATTAGCAGCTGATATGCTGTTTGCAGCGTCCATGAGGCATTCAGATTAATTTAATTCATCGCCTCTGCTGCAGTAAAAGCCAACCATGCAGAGTTTATCTCATACTGACGTATCAAAAAACCCCAACTCAGTGATTGGTACTTTATAGCAGCCGACAGTGCATCCAGCCAGCAGCAGTTTGTGACAAATGTTCTCCATCCATGGATGATGTGGAGGAAAAACTGTTTGCACTTCATTTAGAATAATCAGTTTTATTGACTGGAAAGTGAAACAAAAAGCAAACAAAGTATAAGCAGCGTGTTTGTCCACCTATAGAGGAGTATTGAACATTCCACTGAACCCTTCGGCGAAACATTTATTTGGCTCGACTCGCTGCAGCGACTGGGCACATAATCTCACCGAGGGTCGAAACGTCTGATCGTCTCTTTTAAAGACGAGTTTCCTTAACCTGCAGGCAGACTTCACCGTTTCCAACAGTTGGTTGGTCCGCCTGCTGTGATGTCACAGCTCTAACGGTTGTTTAAAAGAAGCTTTCTAGCCTCAGACCAGGGAAACTGTGTTTTCTGTGAGAGTGCAGCGTGAGCACTGTGTCAAAGAAGCTAAAACTGAATTCACAAAGCTGAAAAAGTAGAACATTAGCTAAAAGTTTAAATTAGCAAAATATTTTCTTTTTCTTTCATTTGTATGTAACTGTAATCCCACTGGGAGACTCATTGAGACACAAGGACTCATTTTCAAGAGAAACTCATTTTAAGTACTAGCAAGACACTAAAACTAGCAAAAATGTAGTTAAAACCTCGAAGTAGCCAAAAGTTAGCTAAAATCTAAAATAGCATAAAGCTAGCTTAAATTTTTTTTTTCAGCTGTTCCTTTCTTCAGGGGTCGCCACAGTGAACTAAGTCGTACGAAGACTTGGCGATTATTTTTATGCTGGACGCCCTTCCTGACAGACCACTGAGCTACCACAACCCTCTGTGTGGAGCGGGGGACTGCTCTGTCTGGGGCACCGGGGGGGGGGGGGGGGGGCCTGCCCGGGAGCCCAGGGTGGGGTAGGTGAGGGTTGGGGTGGGTATAGGTGCTTCATCTTTCCCACCAACATTTTGATGTTGTCAATACCAAGTGTTGAGCTACGGATCTTCCGATCACAGGCCCATCTTCTCTGGCCTCTGTGCCACCCCCTCCCAAAAAAAGCTAGCTTAAAGAAAACATGCCAAAAGCTAGTTAAAAGCTATAGTGAAAAGTGTACTAAATGTAAAAGTGCCAAACAGCTAGCTAAAGGTAACAAAAGGATATAGGGACTAAAAATGTAAAAAGACTGGCTTAATTTTTTTTTTTCAGCTGTTCCCTTCTTCAGGGGTCGCCATCTATTTATCTCATTTATCTAAAAGTAGCTAAAGGTTAGCAAAAATATATAGAAGCAAAAGTATATCTAAAAACAAAAAGCAGCAGAACATTAGCTAAAATCTAAAAGGCACAAAACCCTAGCTAAATGTTAAATGTAGCAGAATAGTTGCTAGAAAGTAAAAGTAGCTAAATGTTAACTGAAAGTACCACAAATCTAGCTAAAAGCTAAAGTATCAAAGCTAACTAAATGTAAAGGTACCAGAATAGCTAAAGGTAGCAAAAGTATAGATAGGAGCTAAAAATGTCAAACCCTGGCTAATATCTAAAATTAGCTAAAAGCTAGCAAAAAGCTAAGTGAAACAAAACTGTAGCTTACAGTTAAAAGTAGCAGCAGAAGAAAATAGAGCAATCACTGAAGCAGATTTCAGAAAGAACAATGTGTTTGAAGGGATTGCAGAGATTTCTTTGGAAAAAATATTTGTTGAAAAATTTTTAGAATTTGAAAAGTATAAAAGTTACAAAAACTAAAAGTCCTGACACCCATCTCCTAAACCAGCTGCATGTTTTGATATATGAACAGCTAAAATAGCTCAAAATGAGCAAAAGTGGTTAGCAGACAAATTAATTCTGAGTCCTGGATCAGCGTTCAAACAGTTAATCTGCATGTTTGTTGATGTTTGTAATTTTTCTGTGATTTATACTCGAGAGTTAAATTTAAACTCTAAGGACTGATAGACAAGAGCAAACTGCAACTTTTAGACTCCAGCATCCCTTGGCCTCCAGGTCGAAGTGTATATCGCTCTACCTCGTCCCTACGAAGCAGCTCGGTCTTAAGGTAGACCCCCAGACAAAAGATGAAGCCCCCGCACGTCACCGCCAGCCAGGACAGCAGCCAGAGGCCCTGGGCCAGACGCACCCGCCTCTGCTGGTTGAACTTTATCTTCAGCAGCGTCATGGCTCACTACCAGTCAGGGTAAAGACAAAAGGGGGAACGTGAGAAGGGATGGGCTCAGCTCCAGTTAAATATGACAAGAAATAAATCCAGATGTGGCGAGCAGCTGAGCTCACAGAAGCAGGCGATGGCAGTGTCGTATGAACGCTGCAGCTGGAATGATGCGGGCCTTGTTGGTGAATTATAAGCTCATCTAAGTTGCTCCAAGAGGAGGGGATAAGCAGGTAGAACCTTGAGTTGACTTCAGAGGATAATCCAGATTCTTTCACTTGGCTCAAAACTATCCCAAAAAAGGTTCTGAATCATCCGGATCAGCGCAGCAGCACCATGGGAAATGTGAGGGGTGGATAAAAAGATGATTTATGAAATATGAGAAAACGGAGATTATCCTTTTCCCAAAAATTGACAGGTTGTCTTTTTAAAACCAGTTGGTCCCACTGATGTTGTCCCGTCTTCAAGGTGAAGATTTTCTTCCTGTTGTGTTGATGTTGTCTTCTGATGGCCCCACTTTCTGGGACTCTTGCGTGCCCGCTGTCCCCCTAAACCGCTGTAGCCATGGTTGGAGGACAAAGAGACTGGACGAAGTTGAGTTTGGAAGCGTAATCCTCCAGCAGAGTCCGTGGGATCCTATTAAAGCCTGGGGGCCAATTGGAAAGCAGGCCACTGTTTGATCAGCAAACTTCTTCTGATGGACAGGTATGATAGGCGGGCCTTTTGGATCGTCATGGCAACGGTCCTCATCTAAAACCTTCAGCAATTTTGATGCCTCAGAAAAAGGATTTTTTTTTATAGTAGATTATAAGCAAGCCATCATGATATAAAGCAGTTTAATGTGTTTCTGCGTTTTAATTTTACCAGCAGACTAAACTGGAGTTAACAGGGAAAGTTAGAATACTTTAAAAATCTAAAATGGTCTCTTGTTTAAATACAAGCAAATATTAATGAATCTATTTGTTCTGTTTAGTTGTCATAAAAAGGCTTAAAATGAACATTTTCTTAATTAATCTCATACTCAACTAACTTCTTAAGGATTACATGCAAACAAACATTAAACTTCTCTGACTGGAACAACGCTGAGGGACGAATGATATAGCTGAAATTTCCTTAAGAATTGGAAACTATAGCTAGTGAAGCTAAAGAAGCAGAGCACTAGCTAAAAGCTAAATGAAGCAACAGCTAGCTTCAAGAAGCAAAATGCTAGCTAGGAATTAAAACTAGCACAAGATTAGCTAAAAGTAGCTAAATTGCAGTTGAAAGAAGCAAAAGGTTAGCAAAAGACTAAAAATGACAAAAAAGCAGCAAAAAGGAGCAAAGTGAGAAAAATCTAGATTAAAACTAAAAGTAGCAGAACTCCAGCTAGAAACTAAATGGAGCAAAAATCTAGCTTCAAGTATCAAAATGTTAGCTAGAAAGTAAAAGTATCAAAAGGTTTGCTAAAAGTAGCTAAATGCAAACTAAACGCAGCACAAGCTTCGCTAAAGGCTAAAAAGTAGCAAAACAAACACTGAAAGTAGCAAAAGGCTATTTAAAAGCTAAACGTAGCAGAGTAACAATTACAAACTAAAAGTATCCTAAAGAAAGTATGCCATAGAAGATTTTGAATTAAAGATATCTTAATTTCTATGGGGAAATAATTGTAAATAAAGTTAAATACTATGAAAGTGTCAAAGTTACAACAAGCAAATCTCACTGCTCCCATCTACTGAATGAGCTGAATGTTTTGATATACGAACAGCTAAAATAGCACAAAGTGTGCAGACGTATAGTTAGATGACATACAAGAAGTAAACAGACAGTTTTTTTTAACTCATTAAAGTTCTCAGGGAGCGTCAGTGAGATGAAGCTCTGTCAGCTGCAGAGAAAGTAGTGATGGAGTTATGGCTGCAGAGGATTATTACTGCGACAGAGAGGTTAGTTGGGTTAGACCAAGAGGATTAAACTGTTATGAAAAGTATTTCTGACAGCTTGAATCAGAGCTCTCGTTAGGCTGAAGCTGCTCTCTTGTTGTCAGCTCGGACAACACAGCTCTTACAAACTGCAAGGTTCGATCGTAAACATCAGACATGGCTGACAGTTTGTTCATAAAGTTGACTCATGGTGCAGAAAGTTCATTGCAGATCATCAAGGACCAATCAGTCGTAGAGAATAAGTGAATTTCATCACTGGATCCGTAAATCATTCTGTGGCTCAGGATGACAGCGGAGTCAAAACAGCTCAGTTTTTAACCTAAATCTGTTTGAACTGATTTATTTTGTACAAATTGACAAACATAAACTGGGTCCAGCAGGTCCAGGTGGTCTTTTAGGTCCAGGATTTGAGGGGCTAAGAATCTGAGGTGAATCTGAACTTTCCTGTTTGGGGTGTTTTAAATTAAATCACCACAAATATCTAACGTTTCGAACATCACAACACACCAAAAAATATTTAAAATACAAAATAAACATCTACTTTCAGTACTGACATTTTGTCCTGAAATTAAATTAGAGTTTTTACAGACCACTGAAATGAAACCAGCAACATTTGCTAAACTAAACACTCTTAGATGGAGTTTTAGGAACAACTCTCATCTACTACCACATCAAATTTTAGCTCAGCATCTGTCAAATTGACTGAGTTAAAGTCAGTTTGTTTACTTAGGTTGATTTACCCCAGCAGCTATTTTGACTTGGGTAGACTCCAAACATTTTATCAGTTGATGTACACCCAGTGGTCCGAGAGATATTTTACTAACAGGCAAAACGCTCAGCCACAGGCAGCAGGCAACAGGTTAGACCAGGTCAGAAGGGGTTAACAACTAATTTATTTCTCAAGTGCATTAAGATGAACTCAAGTCGACTAAAATTATTTAAAGTTTAGTTGATTGAAAGGATAAAATAACAGTTAAAAGGCAATAAAATACAAGAAGCAGTAAAAGAACAAATAAAAGTAAAATAAAATACTACAACATTTATTCTGAGCTTGCTTGAATCAAAAAAACGGGCACAAATAATGAGCTGAAATTAAAAACTAATACATTTATTCACATCTGAAGCAACAAAAAGGAGAAAGTAATAAGAACTTTGAACAAATAAATAAAAAAATAAGCACTCTATAACTAAAACAATTTGACATCTATTTATTAAAATCTTATCAACTTGGGTCAAACAACAAATAAACTTTTAATGAACTTTTTTTTTGCTATTATAATTTACTCAACATCAAACAAACACCTGAATATTATTTACAACCTGGTATTTTGGATTTTTTTGTGAAATACAGCCACATCCTCACCCGACATTATTATACGTACGTGTCGCATATGAACATAATTATACAGATATATTAAATAGTTACAATCAAGCCTTTAAATGCACAATAAAATAAAAGTTAAATTGCATTTAATACATAAAACAATTAAATCTAACTATAATCTGGAAACGTTTGGTAGTTTTTAAGTTGATTTATTTATGCGACCCATTTACGTCATGTTTACAAATTTCAACCCAAATGGGGACCAGGTCACTGTGAATAGATTTACAGATATAAACAGAACTGCTCTGTTTTAAAATCTAAATACATTTTTTAATGTTTTTTAGCTTCAAACATGAGACACGATTGTTCATTTTTGCTCAGTTGTAATTGTTTTTCCAGACCAACCTTTAAAATGTGTTTTATTGAGCTAAAGTATCATTAGGGTCAACAGTAGCTCTTGAGAAAACAAAACTAATTTGTAAGTATCTAATTAACATTTATTTTATTTACATTTAATAACAGCTGATAAACCAATACACCATGTTTAATGACCCAGCAGTGACTTCCATCGTTTCACATAAATGACATTATGCAGTTCAGTTTTAGTTGAAAAACTATTATAAAGCATGTACATTTATAAAGGAGTTCTTTTTTTTTCTTGCTTTTATTCATCCAACATGTGGTTTTACTACCTGTGGACACATTAAGGTTTAGTTTCTGTGTAAAAAATCTGCACTAAACTTTTAATTTAGTTCGTTTTAATGTTTCAGTGTGTTGACTGCGTTATTCTTCCACAGTATCTATTAAAGATTGTGTTTTAATACAGCCGGGTTTTTTTAAACAGCTGGCAGATGTTCGTGAGTCACATGACTGAAAACAAACATCCTTGGCGTTTTCAGTTCGGCGGCGCTCCGTTCATCCATGCACGCTCTGCTGCTCCTTCCCTCCGTCAGACTCCTGGCGTGTCTGCAGATGCTGGATGAAACCGTCGAGGATCAGCTGAGCCGACATGGAGCTCACGTCTCCTGCTTCCTCCTCTAACAGCAGAACCTTCAACCCTCCCCTCCCTTCCCACCTGCCTGTGTGGGCCTGCTGCTGGGGGCCTGAATGGGAAGCCTGCTGCTGGTTTGGAGGGTAAACAGGCAGCGGTTTGGCAGGAAAACTTGTTTTAAAGTCTGGAGCGTCGCTGTCAGGAACAGAGGGCGATGGGATGTGGCTCGGCTCGTGCTGGCCTGCGAGTGCAGCCTTGTGTTTTTTCTGAGGCAGACCTGCTTTGACCGGCACGAAGGCTGTGACCCTCTGTGACCCTGCCTCGGGTTTGCTCAGCCAGTCGTGTGCCGCCTCCTCTGGTTCAGGATCAGGGTGTCGGTTGATTGGAAAAGAGGTGGCGAGAAACTTCTGAACAGCTTCTGCTGAGCCGAAGTGCTTCTCCAAGAGCTCCTTCAGCAAACGTGGGACCTGAGGGAGAGAAATGCAAACCTTAAGGCTGAATTTAGCAAGAACAACAGACTTACTTCCCCAGCTGCCAGAGGAGAAGCAGATGGAGTCTCTGCACGTGTCACTTCGTATGAAACTTTGTTTTGCACATGACGGCTTTACAATGTTTGGCAGGTTAGCAACATGGAACATGATGCGTTTGGATGATCAAAACAATTAATGCAAAAGTTTTAAACAAAGATATTGGAGAATCTGTTAGTGTTCAGAGTTTGAGTTGGGGATAACTCTCAGCTACTACCACACCCAACATTAGCAATTGCTATGGCAATTTTTGTGTCTGCTGATTTCTATTTGCTGGGGCTGCAACCTTGAATCAAGGTGACTCTGAATCATACATCCAGTGATACTTTCTGATAATATTTTGCTAACAGGCAGACTAGGAAATCATTCTGTTGTAATGTTATTGTCTAATACTGCAATGACACCATTAATTGCAATAAACCCATGTTTTCCTCACTCCTTGTATCAGTTGTCATCGCAACTTTTAAGACTTGCGTTAGCATTTAGCTTTAGCCTTTAGCTTCAGCATTTCAGCTCTGTTTTTATAGATCAGCTGTGGTCAGTAAAGGGGATCCACCAGTTTGTATAAAACATATTATCCACATCAGTTTTGGGTTTCCAACTTATTGCAATACTTTGCAGTACTGATATTGTGCATTCTGGGATGATAACTTTTTGACATATTGTGACACTTTAACACACACAGAGGTGATCACATGGTCTAAGAGGACCAAAGTGCACGCTGTAATGTTCAAAACTAAATCACATTCCTTACAGTGATAACAGCAGCAACCTGTCTTATAAACATCCAGATATTTCATCCTCTCTTTCAGAGGTTTTCCTC